TATAGTGGACCGCCGCCTGAGTTTCCACTGAATAGATGAGACCAGCATGCTCTCGCCGGTGCTCTGCTAATAGCTGCTCAACTGCTGCGCACACCTGATCCTGAGGGACACTGTTGAAGAAGCCGACCAAATCGTCATTGTGAAATGCGAGAGTGACTGTATCGTCTGTGTTGTCAAAGTATTGTTTGACGTTCTGCCATATCCTCGGCGTGGGGTGTACCCCCCACGAACACTTCCATGTACTCGCGGCGATCTCGCCGAGAAGGATCGCAACCGCTTTGAAGAGCTGCCGGTGCACCACCTTATGGTAGGCTATAATAGTTCGCCCCGATTTCCATTGCTTCTTACGTTTGAGAAAGACCTTGCCGACCGGGATCGCGGTGGTCTTCTTCCTGTATGCCCATTTGTACCTCTTCTGCAGGTGCCGCGGGATAGCTTCAACAATGAGAGCCTCGGCCTGGTCGGGCTTCAGCGAAGTGGCGGCAAATGTGCCGGACTGAAGCCAGGTGTTGTGGAGGCCTTTGAAGTAGAGTTGGGGGCAGAAGAACATGAGGTGGTGGTTGTCATGGTCCTCGTTATGGCACACAAAGTCCTGGCTGAGGTGCCGATGCAGGATGTTCAGCTGGTGCTTGGTGAGAAGTTGATGGGCGGATGCGTGCTGCCGGTGTTTCCGAAATTCATTGCGTAGGTGCTGCATGAGGGGTGCGTGGAATTGGTCCAGGGGCAGACCGTGGTGCATGCACCATTTTCGTAGACGTTCATGAACCTGCACTTCGTAGACTGACAGGTCCACATAGTATGACGCCAAGGCTGAGGTGTAATGAACATGCTGTGGAGTTCCGGGAAACCGGAACTCATCCAATCCCGCGGCCACATGGCCGTGAACATGAGATAGCCAGGGCTGCCGTTTTAGCCAGGCTGCGCACTGACACGATGATGGTCCTGCGGATGTGAGGAGGTAATTGTCCTGAAAAGACGAGAAGTTCCACATGACTGTATGGACTCGAGGATGAGGGGTCTCCGCCAACTTCGTGCTGGGCAAGTGGAATGGAAGAGCCCAGTTGCGATGGTCGAGAACCAGCCGACGAAGGACTTCCCTGGTGGACCGCTGATAATGGGGATGAGAAAGCCACGGTAACCGCAACAACGAGTTGATCTTGGGTTGCTGGAGTTGGCGGAAATCA